CAAACTTTATGTATTTCACCATTAGTTTTAGCTAGAGAGCTGAAAATTTCAGAAACGAAAGATCTTGATTAGATATACATGTGATAAAATTTTCAGCTCTCTATACCAACAAAAAGTATGATTAACACTTTATCATCTGTTATTATGGATTGTCCTTTATCGGTGTGGAGGGTTCCTGAAAAATGATTTGATTCTCCACACTTTATATGTTCGAAAAGGTTTTAATTGTAGCCTCAGACCGTTTTCGACTATGATACATCTAACTAGACTATTAAAAGTGAAAAGAAACCTTTCTTCCACAAAGTGGTAGAAACCCCACGGATTCACCCTAATACGTTATAATGCTATTGATAATAAATTCTTCTATCAACTAGGTAAATCTAACTTACCTTGTTTATTAAATTGTAATGTAATAAGAGTTAAAAACTAGTCGTTCTTATATAGAACTCTTCAATCTGATGCAATAGATAAGTATATATATATATATTAGTCATGTTTTATCGGTTATATGACATCATTTACTCTACTTTATGACAAGAAAAAAAAAGAATTTATTCTTCTCTTTTTCGAAAAAAAAAAACGAACTCTTCCTTTCACATGAAATCATCAACCATTGACATAATACTGAAAAAAAAAACAAGGCAGCAAAGAAGGATAATGCAAAAACCAAAGCAACATGTCAATACAGAATATATTGTTTTTTCTTTCAATAGTTTTGTTTGTTTTTCTTTTTCTTTTCTGTATACATGTACAAATTCACACTGTACACACTCATACACACATACACATACATGAAATAGAGAACGCGGTTGGCTAATATCAAGAACAAACGAAAAAAAGAAAAAAATGTATATAGATACACATAAAGAGAGGAAAAAGAATAAATGAAATCTACTAAATATATCATATAGAATAACTCGCTTATACTCTTAGAGTTATGCGAGATAGAAGCTGAATGCAAACTAAAACAACAATGACAAGACAATTTGTACAAAAAAACGAATTAAATGTTATTTTCGATGATATGCTCGAGTACCAGTAATACCTTCATCATCCATCTGTTCTAGAAAAAAAAAATTTCCAAAAAAAATAACAAATTATTCATTTGTTTTCAAATCTTACCAATTGGTGTTACAGTTGATTTTGTTGCAAATATTTTACGTCTTGGTCTTTCATTCATATTCATATCATCGAATGTTTCTGTTGTTGGTATTGTTGATTTAACTGCAAATGCTCGACGTTTTGGTGGTGAAGAAGGATCTTCTTTTGGTGCTATTGGTTGTGGCGGTGGTGGAGGAGGTGGTTCATTAGTTAGTGCTGATTGTAAAATAAATTGTTGTTGTTGGGCAGGTCCTTGTGTAAGAACAGTATATTGTGTACCACCAGGTGATGTACATAAAGTAGCAACTTGTTGTTGTTGATTAGGATCAATTTGTTCAATAGTTAATGGTGTATTTGGATCAATACCAGCTTGTGTAAGTAATGCTTGTAATTGTGCTTGATCAAGTGCAAATGGAGAAAGATATGTTTGTGTTTGTGCCGGTTGAATTGATATTGGCTGACCATCTAAAAGAATTGTAGGGATAAAAATTTGATGTCCGACGAAATCTAGTTGTCTGAAAAATATGTCAATAACATCTATATGAACTACTTCCTTGTTGCATTTCTGAAGAAAATAAATAAATTCACATTAGATTACACGAACAGCTTCTTTTTTTTAAGCAGTTTTTATATCCTACAGATATTCAATGAAGAATACTTAAGGCCCCTCCCCTCCCCTCATAAAATGTCAGTTTTCGTTGGAATGGTCAAAACTGAGATAAATACATGGGAAGATAGCCCGTTATCTGCTCTTTCATAAACGATAATTTGTTTTTCTT